GAGACTGACATACAGACAGACAGACAGAAAGCAATACACTGGCTATCATAATCAAGGGTGCTATTATTATTACTTTGCAAGCCAGGCCAGAGATGTACCCCTGAGTTGCAATGCAGCCCTATCATAATTCTCTAATCCATGTAGCTATAGCTATAAGTGAAATGAGATCAATTGTGTGGAAGCACTTAAAAGATGCACATTAGATGTTCAATGTCTGTAGTCTCCCCATCTGAATCTGTGGTAGGAAATTTGTGAATGATAAGCGCTCATCCATTCTACCCTTCATAGCCTTTTGTTATTATTTTCTTATCTGGTACTAACTCACTGAATTAGATGTCAAATTCAACAGGTTTCGTTGGTGGTTGTGAACACTCACTATACTCCAGACCTCATGTGAACACCATAAGCTTCCTATTAGTTTGTACCCCTGTAGGCTTCTCTTTTACCCTCAAGCCTCAGAGAGAGTCGGCGTTGGGGTGGAGACTTTTATAGGTCAAGATCCACTCATAAAGACCATGATGTGTCTAAATTCATGTTATACCTTGTGCAAAATGCTCACATATTTAAAAAGCAAACCGGGTAATTTGAAAGGTGTAGAGCAGTAGCTTTGATCTATAATGATTTTACATTCTGCCTAGTAGAGCCCTTGAATGTATCTGTCAATCATAAGGCATAAGGCTGTACACAAAGATGATGCAGAAAGTTCCCCGGGTTTGATGATGAATGTCACTACTGCTCTTCGGTTAAATGAACTCACAGAATGCTTGTCAGCTGTTATTCTGCTTTGTTTTGGAAATGGGGCCTCTAAACATAGCCCAGGTTGACCTCAAACTTAATTCTTCCCTAAGCCTCCTAAGTTCTGGGATGACAGGTGTGCAACCACACCACCTGTCATTCTTGTCTATGTTTTTTGGTTTTGTTTGTTGTTTGTTTATGTCATCATTAGCAGAGATGGGCTCTCCTACTAAGGCAAGAAGATTTGCCTGAAAACAGAGCACGAAACAAACTCCATTCTCTTCAAGGAGGCAATTTCTAGTTTCCCAGCAGCAAGCACTCAGGTCCAGATAGATGATCAACCAGTGCCTCACCTTTCCTTGTGGGAAACACAAAATGATCACATGGGAATCTTAAGGTTTGAGGCTCCTTTCTTCAAACCTCTGAAAGCAGCAACAGTAATAGCCTCCGTAGAGTGTGACATGACAGGAAAGTTTAAGCCAAAGGGGCTGTTTATCTTTGTAACTCTTCAACCTCATCAAGAAACACTATGAACTTAACAAAACTTGAATCAAGGAACTTTGAAACTGACTGATCTTCCATTGGTCCTTGGGATGAAGGGCAGAGGTTATATAACATAATCTAGGGCCAGCCTTCGTAAACTGGCTGCTTTTGTTTGTTTGTTTGTTTGTTTTGTTTAAGATAGGGTCTGCCTATTATGTAGCTCTGGCATTGTGGAACTTGCTATATAGCCCAGGCTGGCCTCAAATTCACAGAGATCCTCTTGTCTCTACCTCCCAAGTGCTAGGATTAAAAGCATGGACCACCATCCCTGACAACTGGCTATATTTTTAACTTTGTGTGTATGGCAAAATATATTTCCTGTTTAATCATGTTAAGTAAGCAAGTCAGTGGCAGTCATTACATTAATGGCACTGGTGACCAAGCTCATTTAGTTGCTCACACAGCAGATCTGGTTGGGGGAAGTATATGGAACAGGAACCAGTGTTTATGGAACAAAGCTTTGTGGAAAGCTGCCTAACTTTGTAGAACTTTCTTCGCTTAGAAGCAAGGTAAGAAGAATAACTAACAACAGACGTGAGAAATAAGTAGAATATGCAGGTGTTATCAGGTGATAAAAGCTGTAGTTAGTACCTGGGTTCAATGTGCCCAGTATCTGCTGACCTCTGTATCTTCAGATAGCCAAAGACCTTTGCCATCTCTTACCCATTCCCACCTAAGCCCAACCCCTAAAGACAATACAGTAAAATGCAGACAGTTTGCTAGTTACTAAATACTCAACAAACTGATGACAGTGGGGCTTGTCAATATCAGAGTGTAAAGGTCTCAACCACACATAAATGGCATGCTTTCCCTGAACAATTTTCACTTTCAGAACAGCTATCAAGATCCTATATTTAAACAGAAAGGCATATCTTGTTCTGAATAATGTGCTGACATTTTGAAAAGAAGGACTCCATAGAAATATATGCATTTGTAATTTGAAGTTTGATTTTAAAAAAGACCAGTGAGATGGTTCAGTAGTAAAGGCGATTGGCACCAAGCCTCTCATGAATGCTCATACACACACAAACAAATGAAATAAAAAAGACAGGTGGTAGTTGGTGCACACCTTTTATCTCAGCACTCAGGAGACAGAGGCAGGCAGATATCTGTGAGTCAGGCCAGCCTGGTCTACAGAGTGAGTTCCAGGGCAGTCAGCACTACAGAGAGAAACCCTGTCTTGAAAAACAGACAGACAGACAGACAAAATATAATAAAAAAATTAAAAGTGAAATAATTGCATTTTCAAAATTCTCTCACCTCAAATATTTAAAGAAACCAAGGAAGGAAAAAGAGAGGAATGAAATGGGTTTTTATATTGCATGATGACAGTGGAGAGGACTCCAAAGTACTTCATTTTGTCAAGTGCAAGGAAGCCATCAAATGTGCCCTACACCTTCTGAAGTTCACAAGGGATACGTGTGTGTGTGTGTGTGTGTGTGTGTGTGTGTGTGTGTAAATGTTTACTGTAAGCAAACATGGAAAGGGAGGGAAGTTGTAAGTACATGAATATGAACCCGGTACACCCCTGACTGTATTCAAACTTGACATTAGTGGCACAGGAAGATAGATATCTGTGACTCTGAACCAGGCACAATTTTAGTGTAGCTTCCCATTCCTAAGTGGATAACCTGGGAAAGCATCAGATGAAACCACCAGAGGGACAATCACTACAATAAACGACTGGATTTGTTTCTTGATGGAGGAAGTCCTTATGTGTATATGTTTGTCTGATTGGTTGATAAATAAAGCACGGTTGGCCAATAGGGAAGCAATATAGGTGGAGGATTCTGGGAAATGTAGTCAAGAGTAAAGAGTTGCCATGTGATCCCAGGAGGAGAGAATGCAAGTCTGTCGTTCTCAGTAAGATAAGACCTTATAAAATATATATTAGTAATTATGGATTAATAATTAAGTCAGAGCTAGCCATTAAGAAACCATAGCAAATGGCCAACAGCTTCATAATTAATATAGTGCCCTGCGTGTTCATTTGGGACTCCCCGGCCTCTGGGACCAGGCTGGCAGGAAGAATGCACCTTACAGTTTCTTTTTCTGAGATAGGGTCTCATGATGTTGCTTATGTATGTAGCCTATATTGGCCTTGAATTAGTAGCAAGTTTGCTGCCTCAGTCATACAAGTGCTAGGGTTTTAAACATGAGCCACCACACCTGTCTCTGATTTGATTTCTTTCTTTTTTCTTTCTCTCTTTTCTTTTTTATATATTTCGTTGTTGTTTGGTTGGTTTTTTGTTCTCTGAGACAGGTTTTCTCTGTGTAACAGCCCTGGCTGTCCTGGAACTCGCTTTGTAGTCCAGGCTGACCTTGAACTCACCCAAGTGCTAGGATTAAAAGCATGTGACACCACAACCTGGCCCTGATTTGATTTTTTTTCATTTTTTTTATTTAAATGAGAAACAAGCTTGCTTCACATGTCAATCCCAGCTCCCTCTCCCTCCCCTATTCCCCTGCCCCCCCATTTGATTTCTTAAAAAACATTATAAAAGACAAAGAAAAGCTGAGGAACTATTATGGATTAAAAGAGGCTAAAAGCAGAAGTAGGGTGAGTAGCTGCCCCTGTTTTCTTGGCTCTGAACATTTACCCAGTATGCAACACCAGGATGCTGCAACCATCTTTTTATGGTATATACAGTTGGACCAGGTGGTATGGAGCAGGATGAATCTGAAGTAGAAGAAACTGTAATTTTGTAATTTAACTGCATTTCATGGCTGATGCAGTCTAGCTTAAGAGACCATGGTAGCTGTAGGTGTGGTTTAGGGAGTTAATATGGAGGTTGTGATGGTAAGAAAAGGCAAACCACCAAATCTTACCTAGGCCTTAGGATCTCTACTTGATTCTCATGAGAGATTTTAGGGTATTGAGGGGAATTATGTATGAAATGTCAAGAGAATTTGAAACAAATTTTGATGTAGTCTTAGAGTAACTAAAGGTTGAGCATCAGAAAACCATCTTATTCCCTCCCTCCCTCCCAAGGGCCAGGTACAAACCAGGTTGCCCAGGATCCCGGCACTGGGAAAAGTTCACGCATGTTTGGATGCTGAGGCCAGAAGCTTTGGAAGATAAGTTGGGCTACTCAGGAGCCCAGCACCAGTGATTATAAGGCAAGTGGCATTGGATCCCATGTGACCCTGGGTGAACCTAAGTAGCTTGGGAAGGTGCTTGGACCAATCACAACCATTCATTTTGGGTCAATTAGTGGCCCTTTCTGCAACCAATTATGGCTTTGCAATCACAGTCATTAAGGTTTAGGTTTTAAACCAAGTTTAGCCCAGCTCCTTATCACCAACCACAGTAGCCCCTCCATCAAGAAAAGTGCTCCCTGTCTCGCCAAGGTGTGAATAGTTTCTTGAAGATTATGACTGCAAAAAGTCGGATACAAGCTGCTTTAAACAGCTCTGGCTGGGGTTGTGCCTTCAGGAGTTGGGGGCAATCAGCTGCACTCTTGGCAAATTATCTCAAAGTCTGTCACCTCAGTGGGTAGGGCCATAAGAATAGTCTGGCTAGCTTTTAGACAAATAGGTCTTTTGCTCAAGGTAGTTCGTTCAGGCAACAGGAGAGAGTTCAATAGCTGCTAATCAGGGTATCAGATTGCCCGATCCCCAATGTTTATTTCTGGGAGATGAACCTTGGGAGGCATTCCTATAATATAAACTTTTTACACCAACAGTGATTTTTTTTTACACTAACATTTATACTAAGTGATTTTAACAGGTTTTAAAAATGCTCTAACAAAGTTTAATATTGACCCACTTCCTCCGGAGAGGTGAATCTGCTTAATCTGCTTGTAATCCCACCACTGGGGGCCTGAACAGGAGGACAGTGAGTTTAATATCAGCAGGGTCCACAGCATAGAGACCCCGGCTCAACAACAACAGCAAAACATGATGATGATGATGATGATGATGATGATGATGGTAAGATTAAGTCAGGCTTGTTGTCAATAATTGCCATGTGAGGCAGTGTACTACTCAGAGGTTTCTAGAAAAACAGAATTAGAGAACCCATACACACACACACACACACACACACACACAGAGGATTTATTAGGATGGCTTACAGAGTGTGGCCCAGCTAGTCTACTAATGGCTATCTACCAATGGAGGGTCCAAGAATCCAGCAGTTGTTCAGTCCGTGAGGCTGGATGTCTCAGATAGTCTTCAGTATGTCAGAATCCTAAAGAAGTAGACTTTACAAGTGGAGGAATGGACTTTGCAAAGAAAGTAAGCTTCCTTCTCTCATGTCCTTTATATAGACTGCCTGGAAAAGGGGTGGCCCAGATTAAAGGTGAATTTTCCCACCTCAAAGATCTGGATTAGAAGTGGGTCTTCCTACTTCAAATGCTACCATTAAGAAAAAAAATGCCTCACAGGTGTGCCTAGACATTTAGGTTTCAGTTAAGATGTAGGTTTAGCTTTGGGTTTTAGTTCCAGATGTAGCCAAGTTGATAACTAAGAATAGCCATGATAGGCAGTGCCCAGGTGCTTGTAGGATGTGTTTACTCTGTAGGCTCTAATAATATAATGACTGTGTTGAATATTTTTGCAGATATTGTTTTCAAGAGCTGTTTGAACTGGAGGATTTTGCCAGATGCAGTTTGTCTAGGCCTGCCCTGTTGTTCTTTGCTCCATCATTCCTTACTCTGGCTGGTTCCTACAACATGAGGGTAAAGGAACATTCTATCTGCTGTGGGGAACATCCAGGAATTCTCCTGCCAATGGATGCCTGTTTCTTAAAACAAAATAAAACCAGAAAAGACAATGGGATTGTGTTTATTTTAAACCTATTTTGTTGTTCAGATTGCCCATCTGTGTTGGTTTTTAGACCTTAGGGAGATAGGCCAGATCCATTTCTTGCTTACTTTGGGTGTAAACAGACCTAGAATGAGTTTGGTTGGTCCCCTGCCTCCATCTCCCAAGTGCTGGAATCACACACACCAAACCTCACTTACTTCAAGCAAAATCTGGGGAACTAGATCCCCCCCCCACCCCACTCCACAATACAGATAGAACAGGAGTCTGTCTCTCCTTCTCCTGACTGTAGGCATCAGGATTAACAAAGATAATGGGAGCTGTGTGCAGAAGGAAGAGATTTGTGACTTGCATACCCTTTTGACTCCTGGGCTTGTTTTCTCAGCAACAACTTGAAACAAGTGAAGTCTAGCAAGAGTGATCTCAGTCACTGAGGGGTGGAGGCAGGAGGACTGCTGGTTTGAAGTCAGCCTGAGCTAAAACAAAAAAAGATCCTGTTTCAAAACAAAACAAAACAAAAAAGAAGCAAAGCCACCTAACAATTAGAGCAAGAGAAGGGAGAACAGCACGAAGCAAGCCCCAACTGTACCTGTGTCACACAGCAATGCTATTGTAAAGGGCTCCACCTATATGTGACTGGGCAGAGCTATTATTGTGGAGGTTCAGGTCCCCAAAAAAGGAGCTCTGAGAGTCAAGATATTCTTTATCTGAAAGAAACAGACCTCAAAGTACGAATTGTTGTGCCCAAATTCTGAACCCCAAAATCACCAAGAGGCCCATTTCGATGCAAAAGCAAAGAGTCTTTTATTGTAGTTGTTTAATGAGCTAACCCCATTACCTTGGGCCTTTCACCCATTCACCAAGGTGGATGACTGGAGAAAAGACCCCGAGGCAGGGATCTCATAGAGCAGCGTAAGGGGAGTGTCAAGGGGTATACAACAGTCTCGGGATTGGTGCGCTTCCAGGCTTGAACGACCTGCCCTGTGTTGATTGGTCAACTGGTTGTTATGGCCCATAGGCCCTCCCAGGGCAGTTGCTATGCTCTGCACATCACTGTTGTGCACTTGTCCGTAAAGCACACCCAGAGCTGTAAAGCACAGCCCTGCCAGCTGACTTCTGATTGGTTCCATGCCAATCTGACCTCCTAGTGACCAGGACAGGAGCAGCAAGGTCATGCAAGCACATGTTAGCCTGTCATGGCTGCTAAAAGGGGGAGGGGGTCTGGTCACTTCAAAATGTCTTTTGGGTTTACTTTCTTCATGTGTGTCATGGTGTGATGTCTCCTTTAGATGTGAGGATTCACTGAGTGACAATATTGAAGGCACACAGCCCAGGCAGGTGACATCCCTAAATGGAGTTTTCTATCCAAGTGCATGAAAAAATGGGAATGGGGAGAGGCACCCTGAAGCCGGGAAGAGGGTAGCTCAAGCTGAGTGTCCCTCCTGCCCGTGATGATGCTGTGACGTGTGGCCTGGCGGGAGGACAGTGGGAGGATGTTTCACCAAGCACAACAAATGACCCAGTTACAGGCTTGGGGCTGAGGTGATGCCGAGGCCTTCTTGAGCTTCTTTAACCCCTGGCTTTGGCGAAGCCTAATGAGATGCTGCTTTCATCCTGGAGGGGAGGGAAGCCGGGCAACTGTAACCGGCTTTACCATCCAATTAGTCACTTGATCTTAATAGAAAAAAAAAAAAAGCAGATCCTCTGGGGTTTTCTGCACTTATCTAGGCCATTTCCAGCTTTTCACACAGTCCATCAGTTCTGCACCACTGACACAAGTCCACACGTTTGCAAGAAATAGGGCTTCTCAAAGGTCACATGTGCATCTTCAGAGCAAAGCTGCCAAGTGTGACTTCAAACCAACAAAAGTCACACTTCCTAAAGCAGAACCAAGCACCAAAAACCATGTAGGTGATTTGTTTGAGATTCTACTGTGATTATTTTTTGATGATTAAAAACGCACATTGCCCCCAAAATATTTCCAGTGTGTTTTTGGGAAATACCCACTCTCCTGTGTTCAGAGGGGAAACAAACAACAACAACAAAAATGCTTGCTGGGTCTTTCAGCAATAAACAGCTCCTCCCTAACCAGAGGTCGGGCTAGACCCTTTGTCAGATTCTGTAGTAACCTCTCCTTTCTGAAATATATATGAAGAGCAATGGGGTCTCTTTCTAGGGTTTCTACCAAGGCCATGGGGGAGATTAACTGAAGAGTCCTCTATTTTTTTCTGAGGCTTTGACCAAACCTTTGAGTCATTGGCTGGTGGTGGAGCACTCCTTTATTCCCAGCTTCCCGTCACCAGGATAGGCACACATCATTACCATTTTGACACCGGCTGGAAAAAGTTACCCTCCTTCCCCCCCCCCCCCAACAAATAACTCCTCTCTGTGACAGATTCAGCATTTGCTTGGCTTTTTCTCCTTCCTGCCTTTCTTTTTGGTCTGTCATTTGCTGCTCAGGTTTTTTGTTTTTTATCTGCTGTCTCACAGATCTCATGATCTTGTTTATACTTTCCCTATCTTCTTTCCCCACCTGCTATTCCTTTCTTCTTTTCTCACCTCTCTGACAGGGCCTTCCAGTCATTCAGGGCCAAGCTGGGTTTTTCAAAATATAATCTACTAACACTAATTATTTTTCCAGTGCATTTACTCATCCTTCATTTATTCTTGCGACCAGTATTTATGAAGAACCCAGTATAAGCTGCTCACTATTCTAGAACTTGGGATACTGTGTTGAATAAGATAGTCCAGACTCGCTTCAGGTTGACAAGTGAGCTGTAAGGGACACATTTTAGATAGCAACAAATGAGTCAATTATTTAACTTTTTAAAAGGTAGGGCCAGGTTTGCTCCCAGCATGGCCATGGGAGCAGATCTGTTTTCCATGTGGTGGCAGGGAAGGCTTCTTTGGGTAGGTCTTTGCTATTTGAGCACAAATTTAAATTATTAAAAGAAATCATTCACCAACTAATACAAAAGAAGAGTGTTTGAAGTAAAAGGAATTCAGGAAGTTCCTGAGACATGAATGTTCTAGAGAGATAACGGGTGGGGCAGAGTACAGTAGGAAGTGCGGTGGAGTGGGGAGGAAAGGACATGAAAGGAAGGCACTGAGTGGGGAGCAGAAGCAAGAGCACCTCCTTAACGTTCAGGCTGGCACCCCAAGAGGTGGCGGTGCCCTTTCCCAGGAGGAAACACTTGGGGAAGGAAGTGGATACAGATCTGTGGGATAGACAGCGGGGCTCTTGGATCTGGAAGCAAGAGTTCCTTTTCCGACACAGTATGGGAAAGAGCCCTCTGGACATCCACATGTAGGTGCAGACAAACTACAGGATGTGTAAGAGTCTGTGCCTATCAAGAGATGTAATATAAACTTGGAACTCATCAAAAGCAAGAAGGCTGGATGACATCACTTCAGAAAATAATGAGAAGGTTGAGATGAGAAGAGGCCAGTGCCCTGGGACCCAGCAGCATTTGGAGTTCAGGAAGGAGGTGCTAGAAGGGGGATCTTGAACACATGTCCTGAGGTGTCCTGCACATTCAGGAGGCATGGTATATGGTATAATACCAGCTCTGTGTGTGCTAGATTGTCAGGGAGGACCAATGCCGCAAAGGTCTTGTAACCACTCATGCGCCTCCACAAGAGCGCCCTAGAAGTTGACAGTGTTTCCTTGGTGCATATGTTCTTGGTAGGGTCCTTGCTTGCCATGTGCTTCCCAGTGTTCCAAACTCTCAGAGCAGAAAGACACTGCCAGGCTCCTGGGGAAATGAATTACTTCCTTTGTTGAGGGCTAAATCCTCAGACTAGGTCAACTAGCAGTAAACAGAAGCAGAGAAAATGATGCACAGCCTAACTGTGTCACAAGCCAGCCCAAGGACACAGTGTTCATTAAAGTGTGGGTTGATCTAAGAGGAGAATCTACTACCACCACTCCACGAGACCAGCATGATTCTAACTGCATTCTGAGACTTATCCTTATTCCCACGGATAAGTGTAGCTCTCAACCAACATCAAAGAAGCCTCTCTTTGCATCAGAGACCATTATAGAAAACCACAACTAGTTAGTAGAGATCAACTAACTGACTGTGGGAAGTCCACCTCCAATAGATGCAACTACAATACAAGTCTTGCACCTAAGGTCAGGGAACTTTTTGGAAAAGGGGTGTAGAAAGACTATAAGAGGCAGAGGACCAGGACACCAGCTGAGGTTATGTCTCCTAGAAATGAGACTGTATCCATGGTCCCTCTATAATATGGTTACCTAAATGAGACCCGAACAAGGGGAAATTTCATGGCATCTCATCCCTCGGCAAAGAACTACGGGCAACTGCAGAAGATTGTATTTGCATATTACATGTTTCTATACACACATGCATATATGTATATAGTGATATCTATGTATATTATTAATAATCAAAGAAAAAGGAACCATCACTTTAAGAGGTAGTTGGAGGGGCTGGGAAGGGTTAGAGGGAGGAAAGGGAGAAAGTGATGTAATTCTATTTTAATTAAAAGAAAAAATAATAAAGCATTGCCCGTGTCTGCAGTGACACTTTAAGATAAATTGCTATGATATGCATACCCTCTTCTTGGTGCTTTCTGCATGGTCACTCACTGGTCACACAACACATCATGGGATAGGCACCGTTGTCCTCACATCACAGATGAGGACTCTGAGGCCTGAGAGTGTTCTGTAAGTAATTCAGCAGCCAGTGAGTCTAGTTCTTGAGCTGTTGTTCTCACAAAAAGTGCTGCAAGGACCCACAGGAACAGAGTCCTTGGAGATGGGCCACAGAGCAGCCTGTATTTAGAACAATGACTGGGACATTTTTATGGCTCACTGGATTTCAAGTATGTTTCTTGTACCTCAGAGATATCTCAGTCTTGCCCTACTAAGTTCTTTGACATTTCTTAACACCCACGTTTAGGGTATGCATTCATTTCAGAGATGACTCTTAGTAAAAAATTTTAAACACAGATAACGACTCGCTGCATAGCTGTCATTTCCAGAGG